ATCTGTATCTGCTTCAACGACCATTTAAAATCGCTTATGTTCTGTTCCTCATTATATTTTCTGATTGCAATATTTTTATATTTATATTGCTCACCAGTTTGATGGTTATGACCAATTACTTGTAACAACTGGCCATGATGATCGGATATGTCCAAGTTTACGGTCGTAGACTTGTGCAGATGAGCATAGATTACTGAAAACGTTGTCTATGCAGCGTGCCGATCTATCCGTTACTCTTGAAAACAACAAAAGTTAATATTAAAATCTCCCGCCAAGAGTATCTTATGATTTGTGTAGTGTTTTTCTAGAAGCTGTAATGAATATGATGTCATTTGATCTATAAAAACTTGGAAATCGCCGTCAGGTGATCTATATAACGCTATCACAACAACACCTCTCTTAACAATCTCTACTGCCAGATTTCCATGTGTAGCTCAATACTAAAGTGCTTTAAATTTTTTTAGTTCTTTCGTTCTTATGCCGTTTTTTACAAGAATGCCAACCCCTCCATGTATCGTTTGGTATCGACAAAACATTAAGCACCATTTATGTGTTCTTGTCAGGGTACATCAGAGCCTCCTTGGCTTGGCGACATCCTGGTGTCCTGTCCCAGTGGTTTAGAAACTTCTTACGTGTTTCCTCTTTTTGAAGCTCTATTAAAGACCTTATTGTTGCTGCAATGAATGGTTCTGGCGATCCCGGAGGTTCGCCTGCAGCTTTCCTTTCCAGTTTGTGCACCATGTCATGAAGCTTATTTCCCGAATGACCCTTTGTCCAGCAGATCGTAATCTCATTGCTAGCGGCTGCGTGTTATTTCCATTCTTCTTCTGTCGATAAAAACTGCAAAAAAATTCCAGTCATTTTCGAAACCAACACGTTGTTACTTCTATTCTTCTTCTACGATGAAAACTGTAAAAAATAGCTAAAATTTTTTTTTGTTAGAGAATTTTCACATTGAACGTTCTTTCATATATCTGCCACATCCAAATCACAACCGATAGAATTAAGTTTACAAAAATTGCAGAACACTCCATCATATTCGAAGGCAACAGCAATGCAACAACGTCTTTATCAATTGTAGAAAATCTTGGTTTTTTGGAACACTCTAAAAAGCTACAGCCACTATACAAACTACCAGGCAGAAAGTTATGATCACCGAAAATGTTACCTAGCACATATGTATAATCAAATTTGTTAGAAATTTAAAATAATATTAGTAAAAGATCATCATGTCGCTATAACTAGTGATATATGGACTGCTGGCAGCAATAAAGCATTCTTATTTATTTATTTATTTATTTTACTTCCGAAATTACAGGGTTGCCCCTAATTACAAATTTCAGAACTTAAGTCTACTAGTACATAATATAACCAACAAAAATAACAAAACAACCAAGATCAAGCATAAATGTTAATTAACCCATCACAGAACGCGCGGAGGATATATTGAACCAAAACATTAAAAAATGAATAGAATTACATCACAAATTACAGAATTCAATGACAAAAATCAAGTTTGGCTACTGGGTGGCTGCAGTACTTATCAAAGGTGTCAAATGTTGTTTAAACGATCTAATACCAATGCCAAACAGAGGTATGAAGGAAGAAGCCGACAGTGTGTTGTACAGTGAAAGGATTCTAATAAGAGGAGAATTTCGTCTCAGTTCAGTTGAAAACCGAGGAATATAGAAAAGATTCTTTAGCCTACCACAATATGCAGGCGCATAGAAACCAATATTTTCTAATATTAATGGAGCATTTATACTATTATT